GGAAGGTGGGTTCCCAATTCGAGTACCATGGTGGAGAGACGGATCATATTGGGAACACCTAAAATTTTCCTGAAAAAAACAGCAGCAATGGAATCAATGTCATGGTTTACGGCCTCTATCCAGATGGGCACTCCATAAAAAAGGTGGGATAGGAGTTTGCACTGAAAAATATGCATGGCTGCTGGAACAAATTGGTTGCCCGAGAGATAATGAAATTTTGAAATTGCATTGAGTTGGGTAGTTCCTTGGGCTCACTTTTCGTCACAAACTAAACTGGATTTCACATAAAACATACAATACTACAATCAATTAAAACACATGGAACACCTAAGATTTTTCTGAAAAAAACAATCTCCCATAGAAAATGAAAGTAGTATTGAATGCATCTTTGATTATTAGGTCACAATTTTTCATTGACCTTAATTGGATGGCAGTTGGAAGATGTACATGACAGCTATAGAAATTCTGCAGTCAGCAGCATCTGGCTCCATGGCAGATTCCTCAAGCACTTCTCCTAATGCGTTTGGATTTGCCTGTGGGCCTTTTATGTGGTTGCGTTGCAGATGCTCTGTTTGCAGGACCTGCTTATCCTTCAAAGTCTTTCTTTTTTTTTTCTTTTCCTTTTTGTCTCCTTTTTGTCATCCCAACTTCACTGATTCTGATTCACAAATTCTTTTTCCAGTAGCTATTTCTTTATGATTCTGGTACATTCTGTCTATTACAATATTTTACATTAGCAATCCAGAAGACTCTCTTACATTCAAGTATACACCCAATTTGTGATTGCTGTAGTGAGTTTTTTATAGTCTAACTGTTGTATTTCAATATGTTTTGTGTGTGTGTTGTTGCTAGGTTTCTTTGAAACTGACCCAATATAATATCAATTCCCAAAGCAGAGTAATTCGACCAATCCTTTTAAAAGTAAAATGGATTTGCCTTTCCACAATCAATTCCCCACCTTAGACTTTGAAAGTTCAAATCTGGATTTGGTTAGAAGTAAAAATGAATATGGTGGTCTCAGCTTAGTCCTCAGGGGTTTTTTGTCTGTTGTTCAAAAGAGGCCTGGAACCAGAATTACAAGGTTGTTACAGGTCATGATTAAGGTATATGGGTAAAGTTATGTTTGAAAGTGCACATAGCAGTCAAGAATCTCTGTAGATATATTTTTCAGCTGAATTATTTCTCATTCAGAGCACTCATAAAGGCAATGAGCTAAATGTTTTATTTTTTTACTGACAGTTAAATGCTGGGGCACTTATTATTTTGTCTGTACCTTTGCTGTTCTTTGTTGTGTTTAATTCTATAGGTTTAATTCTCATGGTGTTTTTAAAAGGGTACCATTCTACTGTTTTGCATGTTTTCATAGTATTTTAATTTGTGTCTTTCAGTTGATTATTTTGAGGAAGATGTGGTAATCTTCTAAGTTATGTATGACCATAATTTATTTATTTTGAAAACTTATTTTTTTTAAAATGGAACCTCCTGACTTCAGTGGACTGTATTGTGGAGGGAATCTTTGGAAATGTGTGTAGATCTAACAGAAGGCAGATTCTGGACATTTTTTAATAGCAGTATGGTAACTTTCATTTTAAGAACAGATTACAAAAATATTGAGAATCTGTGTCTAACTTCTAGAATCTGTATAAACATTTATAATATCTGATATGAGCAATCATCGTTGACTAGAGTCTAATAGTTTTGGGCAGGATAAAGGCTGGTATAATAAAATACTGTTGTCTGTAGTACGTACATGAATTTTTTCCCCATTGATGTCCTATGAACTGTCTCTGCATGTTTTTTGAGCACTACAGAAAGGTCTGTAAACTGTAACTAGTGAGATGAATGTACATGTGATGGACAAGAAGGACTTGGACCCAAAGAATAGGACTAACACTTTATTCATCCAGTAGGGGTTTAATAATGTGTTCTTTCCCACAACAGCCCAGAGAAGCTGTTTGAAGGATCAGGAGACCAGCTGGCATAGTGCCAGATATGGTTCAAAGCTGTGCAATGGGAAGGAAAATCAACAGAAACTAGAGAGCAACACATCTTTGGATCACCAAAATCTCTTATACCAGCTTCAAATCTAAGAAGCGTGTTTGTTTCCAGCTTTATAAAAAGCTGTAGAAATCAATTTTCCTGTTTATCTTTGGTGTTATATTTTTACTGTCTATGATTTCTGTGACTCAAAAAAAATGGGTTTTGTGTCTATACAGAGGCATGCTTGAAATCTTGTAGTGCTTAGTTGTTTTGGCATGAGCCCTGTCACCACATCCCCACTGTGCATGCCCTAGCATACCTCAATCAAACCTCTTACTAACTTTTTGTTCAACCACAGGATAACCACTGCTGCCTTTCTGAGTCAAATTCTTCTTCTGTTTTGATGTTTGTGTATTTTTTCCTCCTCAGTTAGTGTTTATTTAGTTTTCTTGCAGGCTTTGCACACTCTTATGGGCTCCAAGGTTTCATAAATATTCATGCTGAGATTACTTAGTCAGGAGTGGCTCATGGTTTCATGTTCATCATTAGAACCATGGATTTGTCCCAGTTAATAGCTAGCCCTGCATATGTGGCAGGGCATACTTTGGATCTGACATTTTTTTCTGGTAGAAACAGTGATCTGAACCTGCAGGGGTTATATGTGACTATGTTGTCAGGACAGATCAACATCTGGTTAGTTTTAGATTGGCAGTTGGTATAAACCTCCACTGGGGTGGTGGATCAAGTATATGATCCATTCCAAGCATCTGATACTGTGGATCCTAGTAGTTTCCTGCATTCACTTGAAGGTATTGCCAAAGCCCTGGCTGATTCTTGGAATGCAGAAATAGCAATGGTGAGGGATGCTGTCACTTCCAAGCATCCTTTCCTCACCTGTAGAGCTGAGAGCAATGAAACAAAAGAGGTGAAGATTAAAGCACCATCGGAGGATAACTTGGGACAAATGAAATTGTAAACTTGCTGCAACCTATTTGAAAAGGCATGGTGCAGAGACAAAGGTTGCTAAGAAGGACTCTGTCTTCTAATACTATAGCATCCACACAAGACCAGTGATGATTTTCTGAATTGTGCAAGGCTTCCTTCACTAGGGTACATGGGGAGGAAGTGTCAGAACAGTTGGTTGCTCACTGCGAGTGGACTGCTGTTGTAAAATCATTAAATAATTGAGTTGGAAGGGTTTATAAGGCCAACCCCCTGGTCAATGCAAAGTAGAACTACTCATAACAGATGGTTGACCATATTCTCTTGTATTCCTCCAATGTTAGCACACTCACCACCTCCTAAATGCATAGCACAACACCTGCTATGTGTTTGTAGATGAGGTTTCTATGTTGCACCTTGAATTTGATTCTGATTTTGGGACAGGTCATGTTGATGTAACTATGGCTGTCACTTGTCCTTCTAGCTGGGATGCATTTCAGCTTGTAGATTTCGGGGTTATGGAAAGAATGCTTAGAATGGCAAGGGCTACTGCCTGCTTTCTTGATCCTTGCCCCTCCTGACCAAGCTGGGACTGTTGCCATGGATAAAGGAGGTGATAAATGCTTCCTTAAAGGAATGCTCTGGCCTGCCTTGCCTAAAAGGCTTCCTTTTATGCTGTCCTTTTATGATAGCTTTGTCATAATTTTTTTTTTAAAAAATGTACTGTTACCCCAAAGTTTTAATTAACTATAGGCCAGTGACAAACTCACTTTTTTTGGCTAAAGAAGTTAAGGTGTGGCCTTGCAACTCTAGGCACTCTTGGATGATACCAATTATCTGGTCCCATTTCAATTTGACTTTTGGACAAGATATAGGACTGCTTTGGAACTATTGCAATGCACTCTGTGTTGAGCTACCCTTGAAAAGGGCCTGAGATATTTAATTGGTGAAACATCTGGTAGCTATATGGTTAACTGGTGCGTGGTATTATGATCATACAGGTATGAGCCCAGTACTGAAAGATCTGCGCTAATGGCTGATTTATTACTGGGCCCAATTCAAGGAGCTGATTTTAATTTTTCAAAGCCTTGAACACTGTGGGGGCTGGCTAACCCTCCCAAATATTAAGCCCTTCCAAATGTTAAAATCTTCAGGAGGGACATGTAGGGAAGGACCTTTCCACTAGTTAACTAATGTATATTTAATTGTTTTTAAAAAGTGATATTTATCATATTCACGAAGGCGTTCACGGCCGGGATTTAATGGTTGTTGTGGTTTTTTCGGGCTCTTTGGCCGTGTCCTGAAGGTT